CAGCCGTTCACACGGACTGGCCATTGAAACATGCCCAGCATCCATGCCAGAAAGTCTTTTTGACACAAGTGGGTAGTGTGGCGTTAGCAACACAAGACAAAACGCACCCCCAGCGAGCCGCAGCATTCCTCTAGCCATACGGCGTGATACTATCAGTCTTGAGAAGCCTTCCGAATACCGTTCACTTCATTTTAGAATATCAGCCACGCCCACGAGTAGAACCTTGTTAGCACCTTACTAAATCAAAGAGCCCCTACGAGTTTCCTTCAATGATAACACCCATAATCCAAATCCACCATCGGCCTTGGCAATTTGTTTACGACACAGTCCCAACCAATGTAGCGGCAATTAGGGACAGCACACAGCTGTTATCAGCACACCATCACAACAAACCCCTGTCGCTCAGCAGTGCTGCCAGTCATGCCAGCGGAACTGCGGCTCCCCGCCCGTGACGGGCCGGGCGGCGGACGGGCGGGGGCGGGGGCGGGGGCCGGCGGGACACCTGTGCGGGCGGCGAGCGCCGCCACCGCCCCGTGCCGGCAGAACACAGGTGGCGCCGATGGGGCCGAGCAACAGCCGATGCCGGGGAGGCACGGACAGGCGCACTCGGGTCAGAGTCTCGGGTGGCTCACAGCGAGATTACAGGCTCGTATGATGACGGAGCCGGCAGATGACCATCAAACCGCGTTATCGGGCGGTCTGAATAGCACAACTGTGGACATTGTTCCTGCGGGGTGTCCCGGTTGCGCATAACAGTCTCCGGGCGACCATACGCCAACCGACAACCGACCGCCTAAAGGGAACAGACAGATCAGACAGATAGTGTTGAGACGCCTTTCGAGTTCTAAGTCGCGTGAGATGCAAAACGAAATGTTACGTGTGAGGCCGGTCTACATCAACAGTCTTCAATTATTGGCACAACACTTGAGATATCAAGCTCAGAGGTCGATCACCGTTGACAAGCGCCTTTGAACCTATCATGTGATGCAGCTCCTCAGCGGCAGCCAGCGCCTGTTTTATGAGATATCCATCATGCACTAAAACTAAAACCGTGCAAGCTTTGTACCCGAGTGTTTGATCTCCCGTTGAAGAGTCCCATTAACAAGAGATGAGCTACTCCAGCGATATACTACTGAGCGCGGTACAATGGGATGACGCTCCTTCACCGCGCCGGCTACAGAAAAATGCGTGCATTGTTTCAGCCGACACATTATCATAGACCACCCATCAATGACTCAGAGTTGACGCACACCTGCCAGCCTCTTGCGGATGGTGTCAGGGCAGGCATATCGGCCTTCGATCGGCGTGCGTGACGAGTTTCGGTTCACCACACCGCCGTGTCAGACAGGGGCTAACAGCCCCTGTCTGATCCACCAGCGGAGTCACTGCGCACCCGTACTGGCCCGAGTAGCTGATCAACTCAACGGCCGAATACTGCAGATCCCAACAACGGCCTTGCCCATAACAGCAGTACTGGTTGACAATCTCTAGCGGCCGTCTGGGGCCCAGACGGCCGCTATGGGCACTGGGCGGAATTCACAGACAGTCAGGCCAGTCTGGCTCAGCTCGACAGCCGGCCTCTCTGCACGCCCTATGCAGGTTATCTCTCCGGGCACATGGCGCAGTGTGGCAGCAAGGCCACGTTCGTTTACCGCCTGCGGAAATATGCCTTCAGTCTCCGAGTCACCGGTTTACATAAGCGGCTGTGCACACACGACGGTGCAACGGGAAGCTTTGAGTCATCTCACGATAAATTGCAACACAATGCGGAACAACTAACTAGCAGCAGCACACTGTAGTCTGGTATTAGAAGTGGTGCTCCAGCATGTTGAACTGTTGCATACATTTACATAGTACATAGTGCCTTATTTCGGAAAATGATAACAAGCGCCGAGCACCTGAATTCATGCATCACAAGTTGAGCATATTTTCAGGTATCGTAACCAAATGTCCAATATTTTGATTCCAAATCATACAGGATGACAATCTTCCTTTTTTTGCCACCACGTGTTTACAATGTAATCTTAGCACGGGCTGGTGTCCGACTCATCTTCTTTGGCAGAACCCAGAGGCCTTTTAGTAAGATGATGTTTTGGGATGATAGAGGACACGATAGCTCCCGGACAAGCGCTAATATATCTCGCATGCGAATAAATGGGGATGCTAGCCATGGCGCAGCTTAGCTAAACTCCGTACCTATCTGTTGTGCAATGTGCATGCAGTCTGAAAATACGTTCATCCAGCTTGCCAAGAATGGGAAAGCAAGAAATTAAAGGTAGTGTGCCACCTTTGAAAGATTTCCCATTTTATTTTTCCTAGGATAAGAAGCTTCTGTTTTTACCTAATATCGCAAAAAAAAATCAAAAATGGGCCTGGAATAGTGCCTTTTTCGCCTAAAAGTTTTTCGGTTTTTAGATATGTATAACAACTGTAGAGGGCTCACCTGCAAACAGGCGTCGGGCAACAATCGCGAATGCGGCGCACTTGTGACAATAAGCAAAGGTCATTATAGTGTTACGACCATACGACGTACGGGAATGAGTTATCAGCTGTCTAATCGTAGACAACACAATGTCGAGCCTTAAACTGTAAGCCCGTATTGGTATTGTTTCTTTTATTTGGCTGTCGAACATTATTTATGGTTTGAAATATGATTTTATGTAAAATAATTGATATGAAAAAGCCGTCTTATAAGTTATGATCCCATTTCACCACACGCAAGTGGCAGGAATGACAATGATCAGCTGACGCATTTTTCTTGGCCGAAGTCAGAGCGCGCGGCCCGACGCACCACGCGTATTTGGAAATTCCGACCTCGACGAGCATCAGAAGCCACCTAACAGGCGTGTTCGAAACCGCAGGAGATGATGATGAACGGGTTTATCGAAACTTGATTGGATGAGCATATCGGTAATAGCGATTTCAGTGTGTGCATTTATTGTTCATAGTGGTGTGAAATGTGGTTGGGGTACGACCGACAACCCGTCGGGGCGAATTTCGCACTGGGGTACTCAAAATTTGAAGAATTTAAGACGTTTCCATGAGTTTTGAAGGTATGGATAAGTTCTAAAAATCCGGTTCTCCTTATCTGGGCCATTAACTCCATACGGTCCAAGAAAGCTGGCACACTACCTTTAACGGACATACGCGTATGGAGAAGGTGAAGTTCATTGATTCATCAGCCACAGATGGAACTAACTGAACAAGACGACCCACCACCAGCCATGGAATGACGAGCTCGGCTGAGTAATGAGCACCGACCATAGCGCACGTGCCCGAATCGAGTGCGGCCGGCGTCCGCCTGCAGCGTGTATCATCGCCAAAGGGACTTCCACAGGGGCGATGAATCGATCATGAGCGGTGATAAATCTACAGCAGATTCCGTGCACTGGGTGAAGTGCCTGCAGATATTGTCCGACCACTGAGACGGAAAAATGCAGTCTACATAGATGAATCAGACATCGATGTTAAGGTGTATGATTCATACCTATTCATTCACATAGATATCAAGGTCCTAAAGCAACAGGATAGACCGATATGAATCGCATCAAAAGAATGCTGAGCTTGTATTATCTCGACAGTTGACACTGTCACAGCTGATGGTTACCACTTGAGCGTCAGACGTCCTGCCAACATCCGTCCATCACAGACCTGACCATCACAATGTCTAAAGGCTGGAGCACAGCTCTCCCATTCGTGCAAATCGCGTCTCCCAACTCGTAACCCGTCGAGCTGCGAGCTGGCAGACGCGATTTGCACGCGTGGGAGCTCGGGCATTCCGTGTCAACCGGACCAGCCAAAACGGCACCTCCCGTGAACTTCGGGCTGGGAGCGAAAAATATGCAAGGTGTTCGAATGGGAAGAGCGAGCAGCAATTTGCACGCTTGAGAGCGTGCAAATTCCAGCTTTTCCAGTCAGGTCAGTGCAGTGCCCTGTCCTGTCGCAGCGCTTGCCGTGCACCAGAGCAGAGCTGGCGCAGCTGGCGGTGGCTGCCGCAGCTCTGACCCTCCCCTCCCCTCCCCACCGGCTGAGGCGGCGGCTTCAGTTTCGCTCGGGCGGATCGCGTGGCGGCCGGAATGGTACGCCCCCCGTAGCTCCCGCCCAGTCACCAGTCCATCGGCAGAGTACGGACTTATGGCCAGTTAAGTCACTCCGCGACAGACAGAACTGCTAACTTAGCCGCTGGACACGGAGCACAGCGAACAGTGAGCTCACGACAGGCTCACGTCACTCCACGGCAAACGGAACGGAGGGGCACTGGAAACCACGGGAAACGCACAGGGACATCCCTTCAGATGGACTTCTGTGCCACAGAAACCCAGCTAATCGACAGCTGCAGATAAATCACAAATAAGAGAAAAGCCAAGCAGTGTTTCACGGCTGCTGCGATCCATCCGGAATCATTGACTGGAGCGGTTTAGTTTCTTGCTTGCTATCGAACAGCCGAAGATGAGTAGAAGCAGGCGGGGATGGGTAGGGCCAGGCTGGGACAGACGGGTGGGCGGGGTCCGGGTCATGGGCACGGTACCGGGTTAGACAGGGACAGGCGGGTGCAGCGGGGGAAGGCGGGGACAGGCGAGGGAGGCGCGGGCAGACGAGAAAGGCGGGGGCAGGCGCTGAGGGTGAGCGCGGAAAGGGCGGGACATGCCCAGCACGCGACCGCGGCACGCCACACCGTCACACGTGACGGGAGGTTATGACGTCGGCACGGAGTGACAAGATGTGGGCGGGACGGGGAGGGGTGGGGCAGAGGCATGTTCCGGTAAACAGTCGACCTCAACGACCCCGAAACCATACAGATATCTTCCAAAGTAAACATTACGACGCTGGTCAAAGTTGTACGTTTTCGATGCCATTGTTTGAGAGGAGTGATAATAGCCAATGATAGCGATCAAGGACACGGCCATTCATGCAGTCATACACAATTTAATGACCAAAGAGGACGCACGCAGTACATCCTACGAACCAAACACGGAAACCTCCCAGAGCAGCGTGCTCACCTTTTTCTTGCTGATGACGATGTTGCCGTAAATGAGGATGTCGTTGCAGAGGAAGAACTGGCGCGGCTTGGGCTTTTTGCGGCACATTTTGGTGAGTACGCCCTCGCCGACCAGCACCCGGCCCTGGACGGCCAGCGGCTGGCCGGAGCTGCCGAAACACTGCTCCACAATGGCGATCCGCCGCGTGTTCGCCTCGCTGTTCACTGGAACGGGGAGACGTTCGTCAAACTAGCGGCGGATTGACATTCACGCAACCACTACACTACACATAGACAGGCATTCACAAATCTGCCGCCGAGAGAGGGGACACTCACTGGGCCTGAATCTGCGGCTGCTCGCAGTGAATTCAGCGAATATCTGACCACCGCAAACAAATCACTTTAAGAAAGATTGCACAATGCCACCGCTTGCCTATACGATCAGTGGTCCGGCTTTTACAATATTCTAGCGAGCACCTTGGTGCCGAGAAACTTTTTTTTTGTTGTCGGCTTGACAGCAGCAGATTCGGGTCCAGCAAGTGTTGCCACACATGGCAGTAGATTCGCGAATCCGCTGCTGGTAGACGGACATTCGACGAGCCTGCTGCGGGTAGAAGCATATCTGCAGGCAGGAGAATGTCTCTCTACGAGCAGCGGATTCATCAGCAGTTAGATTGACGAACGTTCGAGGTGGAGTACGGTGTCGTCTGCCGGCCCCTCCGCCATGGCGGGCCGCGGCCACAGCGAGGGTCGCCGCCGGGTGGTGGCAAGGTCACAGGTTCACGGTAACACTGCACGGTATTGTCGGAGTGCGCTGGTCCGTTGGATCACCCACACATCACGACGAGGGTCGCTGGCGCGCCCGGGTCACACTGTGCGCTCGACAGTACCGTGACACGCCGCGTCCACTGTCCAGGTCACATCTCGGGCCTGGTGGTGCCCACTGCTCACTACTCAGTGCTCACTGCTCAGTGCTCACTGTCCACTGCTCACTGCCCACTGCAGTGCCACTGCTCAGTGCTCACTGCTCCGCCGGCCGAGTCACACCACTGTCAGTCAGCACACGACACGTTTGGCCGGGGCATCCGAGTAAGCCGCGCCGACAGCCGACACCACTGCACCAGAGCTGAGCACACCACAACACCACCGCGGCCGCAGCCGGCTCGGCGCGGTGCCGGCCGGTGCCCTCTCCGCGCCCTGCCGGGGTGTGAGTGTCACGCGGTGGTCCCGGCCGGTCGGCACTCGGCGGCTCCGTTCTCCGCTGCTGGGGCACGACTGACTGACACCGCGGCGCGCCTCTGTTTACAGCGGGCGCGCCGAACGCAGGTGGACACGCGACACCTGACTCGCGGCGCCGAGGCCGGGGCCGGGGCCGGCGGGCGGGTGCGATACCGGCCCGTATCTGCCGACCTGCAATCTGCGCGGCAGCGGGAGACCCCGGGTCGAGCTGACTGGTCGGACCGGGCCCGCACCGGTGCGTCCGTAATCCCCCACAAGGTTAAACGGCTGTGATCCGCCCGATCACGGTCATCGTACCCACATGCCAGGGCACGGGCCGAGCATTACCGAAATGATAACGGCGCTTGCTGAGTTATGGAAACCAACTTTTTCTAGACATTATGCACATGTTTCAGGCATTTCGAGTGAAGCTGAAATCAATTTATAAATAAATCCCATGATCATTCAGCATTGTCCAGTGTCCACGAACGATCGATTCGACTGATCATGGGATAAGTTTCATTGCAGTTTCATTGGGCCTGCGTAGGTTCCAATGAGATTTCAACTGCTCTTTTTATTCATGGAAAATGGTGATCAGTTTCCTCTAGGCCACTCAAATTACACGTACGCTACCACGATTGAACCCAACCGTCATAATATTTATCTCCCGGCATGGTTATCGCTATAACGTATGATTCAAGAAACCTAACGTCGCATAGTCCATTTCGTATGCAGCAATGCAACTCGGGCTGTGTGGTGTGCTAACGGATTCTTTCGACATTGTGTAAACAGACCGGCGTCTGGCGACACTTGGCCGCCGCATACAAGGCGCCCCGAGACCACAACAAGAGACCGCCTGCTCCGAGAACCCATCCCGAGGCACTGCACAGCGTCAGATTTCAGAGAGTCGCGACCTCGTGTCACACGACACCGTGGTGTCGGGACCACGGACACGGGTCACGGGACACGGGACCACAGGTCACGGTACACGGCCACGGGTCACGGGTCGCGGGACACGGCCACGGGTCGGTCACGATGCCGGCCGATGCGTCAGACACACGGTACACAGGTGACCCGCCGGTACCGGCTGATGAGCCAGCAGCCTGTCTCGGCCCAGGATGTGTTTGTGGTCCGGCGAGCTCCAGATTGTGGCAGCTCAGGTCAGTGAGCTTTTCGGTGGAAGGCCTGCTCGAAAAGCTCAACGAGATGAGGTCAAAAGTTCTGGGAATTTGAGCTTTTCGATCGGGAAACTCAACGAGCAGAGCTCTCCTCACGCTCACAGCTCCGCTCGGTAGCTCAAAGGGCATCCAGCTCCATTCGGAAAGCTAACACAACTCCGCCGCTGCCGGCGCCGGCTGTCAGTCTGGGCCGTCCCAGAGCGGCCCCCGGTCGCCCCCGAGCGCGGCGGTGGCCGTGCCGGGAACAGAGCGGCCCGGGTCGGGTCGGGTTTTCTCCGGCTGGATGCCAGGCGCGCTGCAGCCGGCCGGGCCAAAGGTCGCCCGGCCGCCGTGGTTTGTGGGTCATCACGGACGCCGGGCGGGGCGGAACAGGCCGCCACTGGGCTTGAAGGCACACTGGGCTGGACGAGTAAGACTTGACGGCACTCTTGGCCAAAGAGCTTGATGTGAATATCGCATCACCCTCAGGCTGTCAGCCCACGTCTGCCGCGGCTAAGACACCCACGCTGCAATCAAACGTGTTCAATTGCTCAATGCTCAGTCGATCGTACCCACCAGTGTATGACAATAGACCCGGCAACGTTTGGCATTATATCAGGCGGAGCTCGCAGCAGTATACAAGGACATTCAGCCTTCCATGACATGTCACGGCATCGACATTCCACAGGAAAGTGGAATCATCAAGCCTTTTGGACCAACCCTCCTCCCCGCTCCTGCCTCCCTCGTTTCTCTGCTACTGCGCTTCCCCTCCCCGCAGCTGTTGCAACTCTCTGCCGGCAGCCCGGGGTGGCAACTGGCGGCGAGTCTCTGTGGCGCGGCAGCCGGCGACATGCCAGAACCCGGGTCAATTCCCTGGGACATTCTACACTCTACAGTCAGAGGGCAGCCCGGCGCCCGGGAAACACTCAGGCGATCAGTGCGCCTGCTGACGACAAACCACAAGCTAAGTATGACGTCATTGAGATTTGAGAAGCCTCCGTCAGTGCGAGCAATCAATGAAGTCTCCGATAAAAGTAGAGCAAATACCAGACGTGACTCATTCAGTCTTTATTTGGATGACAATATGATTGACTCACAAAGTCGTCTACACCTTAACCACTAAAATCCGTGGGCCCCATCGTTATCCAGTGCGTTATACTTCACCAGTCGAGTAACGCAGCACAATAAAAAACTGATAGCAGCAGCCCTACCATGCTGTAACTGAGCGAGACGATTGGTTGGAGTCGCTGACGGATGCTCGGCCTCAGTCCGACATCACCCGACGTCAGGCCGTCACGGCACAGCCGCGTAGCTGAGCGGCACGTAACAAGTGGCCACCGAGACCGCCGGCCATGTGAGCAGACTCGGCCACACCGCGGCAGAGGTCAGCCGACGTGCGGTCAATGAACGGCGGTGGCCTGCCGTGCGAAGGTCAGGGACGCTTGGACAGCTATCGTCGGAATGATCCCACGGAGGTCAGGTCCGGCCGGCCGGTCTCCTCCCGTGCCCAGGCGGAAGGCGGCCGACCCTGCGGTCGGCTGAATCAGTCGGAGGCCAGTCCCAGCCACCGACAGACAGCCGGCAGGACACGTGACCGGCCGACGGCGGCCGGCACGTGACCGGTGTGTCATCGGGCCGAGACGGGCGGTCCAGCGCCGGCACGAGACTGGACCCAATGTCAACAGATCCGGGACCGGGCCAGGTGACCAGCAAAAGCCAACGACAGATGCTTTAAATCAGGCTACGGAAAAATCAGCGACGAAAGTAACGGGAAAGGAAATTATAGCGTATATAAAACTAAAACGACTAAAACAGCTTGAAAATAGTTGAAATAATTGAAAATAGCGAAGTACAGAAAGTAGCTCGCCTATGTAAGACCAAGCATATCGCTGAGAGAACAAAGCTTGTTCAATGTTCAGTGCTCACTTTGGTCGAAGCGATTCAGCGGTCTGCAAAATGCAGATAGACCCTAATGAAACAAACTGCAACCAATTTACGGACACTTCAGCACACCGTGTAACCAACGGGAATCTGCAAAACTTTCATCGGCTGGAAGCTAGTTTCGGCGGAAATTTTGGTGAGCTGAGCGGGCGTTAAATTATCTTGTTTGCGTCGGAAGACCACTGATTGATCAAACAGACTGGCTCAGCAGCGCTCGCAGCCTCGCGCGGTGGCTGTTGATCGGTCAGAGGCGGCCCGAGCACCACCCATTGAACCGATTCACCGCTACCAGCTAGCCAGTCACACAGGATCACAGGTGCAAGGCTATTCCAATAAGATAATCGTTATAAGAACTAATACTATGCCAGCATGAAAAACAAATTAACTTAAACCTTATAACACTTAAACAAATCTGAGAAAAGGCTCATTTCGGAGTTCGGACATCTAAAATACTTCGACAACCATAAGAAAATAAAAGGAATCTCATTTCCGTCCACAAACTAGCCCACTTTGGTCAATTTCGTGGACCGTGGTGGCGGGGTGTGGCAATTATTGCGTCCCCCAGACAGGAACAAAGCCCGTCGGCCGTCACCCACAATAGCTGGTGTCGTTTCCCGTCTGGTGTGACGCTGGCCAGAAAGGCAGCCCACAGCTGAGACCGACAAGTGGCATGCCTTTGTTGTTACGAAACCCCGCCGAAAAACGCCAGGCGGGGAAAGAGGGGACCAGGTGCATCAGCTACAGAGTACAGAGTCCGTTCTTTGGAGACAGGGGGCCTATTACGGCTGTATCGTACGCAGCGTCGACAATACGCACTCCATGCAGTGCCCGTATCGACCGTCAGGGAAGCCACAACAGGCTTAATGCGCCGCACAAAAACGAACAGGGTCAATACGACCGACGACGAGC